CAGCAGGCTACTTCACCCTGTCACACACGGAGCCCACTGCAGCAGATGGGAGCAAGGGTGGTAATTAGGAAGATGATAAAAAAGGGCCGGCATCGCGATGGCTTTTAAAAGCCGGTAATTCGGGTGGAGCCTCTCAGGGCTGCAGGGAAAGATGGAATACATGCCCCGCCCCCATTTACACCCAGGCAACTGTCCATATGCACGCATAAGAGGATGTAAATAATAATAATGTTGATGAGAGTTGGTCCCAGGCCAGACACGTGCTAAGCACCTTCCCGAATAATGATATAAAATATAACAATAATGATGATTATCAGGGTTGTTAACATGCATATGGGACTATGGGACAGATACCATTCTAAGCGTTTTTTTTTTTTCCCTTTCATTTTTTGGAGAGGTTTTTTCTACAGGGCGTGTGCACTCGCCAGAAAGACAGAGAGACAGAGAGACAGAAAGTGAGAAATTACCCCCCGGGGGGATGGCCACGCTGCAATCCCTTCTCCATTCTCCTCTTGGAATCTTGGGCATGCATGCACACGTGCCCAGCATGAGTTTAAGCCGCTGGGTCCAGGACTCGAACTGCGGTCGACTACGTGGGAGTCCAGCGACATAGCCATTACGCTAACTGCTGGTCCCCTAAGCGCTTCTCATACACTAATTCATTGGCTTCTCTCAACCCTATTTCTTGACCATTACAACTAGAGCAGATGAACCTGAGGTTAAGTGACTTGCCCAAGGTCAGGCAGCTACCAAGCGGCAGAATTCAAGGCCCTGCCCTTGAACCTCCCTGCCCAACAGTCCCTCTGTGTATGCTATCTCAGTCTGCAAAATAACCCGCATTTTACAGAAAGGAGGGGTAGAAGTTCAGTAGGTATGAAGCACGTGGCTCCGAGCTGCACACTCGGACTCCCGGCCAGCTCTACCTGGATGGCCGTGCTGGAGCTGCAGGGCCTCGGGGCAACCACCCGTGTACACAGACGTGCACGCGTGTGCTCAAGTCTCCTGGATGCTTTTCCCAAAGCTATACAATTTTGTTTTTAAACGTTATGTATTGCGAAGCATTTCTTCCTTACGTTTGATAACGTATTTAAGGAAATGAACATCTTACCCGTTGCTAATGTTTTAAATGAATACATTAAGAAAAAGATGAGGGACCAGCAGTTGGCATAATGGCTATGTCGCTGGACTCCCATGTAGTCGACCGTGGTTTGAGTCCTGGACCAGGTGGCTTAAAACTCACGCTGAGCACATGTGCGCGCATGTCCAAGATCCTCTCCCAGCCCTCCCCGGCCTTCCCTCCTGAGGACTGGCAGGCAGCATGGATACCACTGGATGGGGAGGACGTAGGTAGGGAGACAAGATGGAAGCCCAGGGGAGGTGGGGGCAGCCTGGTGTGGCGGGGGAAAAAAAACGCCAGCCATGCTCCGCGGTTCTGTCCTCCCTGTACGACTGGACCGTTTACCATTTGCCAAGTACTTGCAACCCGAGCTTGGCCCAGAATCCAGCAAGCAGTTTTAGATAAACCAATGCCCTTAGATTCTAAGTGAGGCCCCATCACAAATGTTGCAAGGAAAGGGATGAGAAGGGCTTCCTAAGAATATAAAGGGAGGATGGGGCTGGCAGGTGGTGTAGTGGTTAAGGGCGCTGGACTCCCACCTGGCTGACTGGGGTTCACATCCTGGACCTGGCAGCTTGCTTTCTCACTTTCTCTCTCTCTCTCTCTCTCCCTCCCTCTCTGGTCAAATTAAAATAAATAAATAAATAAATAAATGTAAATATATATATTTTTTTTAAAAAAGAAAAGATAAAGGGAGGAAAGCCGCCACTCTGTTCTACGCCAAGGAAACCATCTCTCTCTGTCTCTTGAGACCCTCCTAGAGGCTGAATGATGTCCTGGAACACACCCTGCCCAGCAGTCTAGTGGGGGGGGTGGATGTCTGCCTTTGCCTTCGGGCGAGGGCTGGAGGAGGCTCAGGGAGGCATCTGGTTTGGGCAGCTGTGGCTGATGGGCGGCCTCCCTGGCAGGTGGTCATTTTCTGTCTGTTTTTGTTGGCTCACTGCGGCTCTGCGGTTCTCATAACACAGTAAGCAAGAGCTGGACCCCCAGGGCAAATGCACCTGCACCCTCGCTCACCAGCACTCCTCTGCAGGGGGTCTACTGCAGGGTGGGAGGGGGACAGTCCTAGGAGTGGTGGCTGCTTTCCACCACTGTTTTCCTCCCTGGCAGCTTAGAATAAAGGAAGCCTGACAAATAGCCCTCCTGGCTCCCAGGGAGCGCTTAAAGCAGGAATAATCGCGTGCACCAGAAATCTGGTCTTCATTAGTGACCAAGTAATAGCAACGGGGTGGCCGGGATCAGCGAAATGACAGTGTGCCGCATTCGTGGGCCGAGGGACAGTCCCAGCACGGAGGGGGGCCAGAGGGAAGGGAAAGGAAGAGCTCATTATAATGAGCTCAAAACAATCCTTTCCCCCAACATCTCTCTGCCCATAGAGCAGTGGATTTCAATTCTGCTGGCCACTAGGGAGTTTTGGAAAACTCTGGCCACCCAGGTCCTATGCTCAGACCAGAGTATTTTGTTGTTTTTTTTTTTTCGCCCTAACGTGAAAAACTTAAAGATATACATGGTCCTAAAAATGCATATGAGACTCATTTTAAGCAGGGAGATGCGGAACGTTTTTTTTTTTTTATTTGCCAGAAGGTGCGGAGAAAGAGAAAAAGACAGAGAGGGGTCAGCAGGTGGCATGGTGGTTAAGGCACTAGACTCCCACATGGCCAACCATGGTTTGAGACCCAGACCTGACAGCTTGCTTTCTCACTTTCTCTCTCGCTCTCCCTCTGGTGAGCGCATGTACTCTATGGCAAATTAAAAATAAAATAAAATAAATCATTTGAAAAAGTGCTCATCGGGGATGGCCACACAGCAATTCCTTCTCCTCCACTTCTCCCTCCTGTTGGGATTTTGCACATGCATGGGTGTGTTTTTTCAAGCTGCCGTGTTCAGGATTTGAACCTTGTCTTTGGCCTTGTGGGATCCAGTCCACATACCCACCAGGCCATAAGCTCACCCAAGGGGAAAATATTTTTTGGTACAGGACCAGATAGTAAATATGAATAGGTGGGTGCTTGTATTTGCTGCAGGGGTCGGAGGTCAGGCGAACGTCTCACGGGTCATCGGAGAAAGATGGCGGTGGAGTCGCCAGGAGGACATTATGAAGGAGCCCGGAAAGCTGACAGACTGTGAGAAGACATGCCCTCTCTTGCTGCGGGTTTTCACCACCAATAACAGTCGCTATTAACGAGTGGAGGAGTTCTCCCTCAGAAACGAACCATCCAGCCCGCTACAGATCTATATCGAATGGATGCAACCTTGAAGGAACTGACTACTTTAACAAAAGAAGTTGACCCAGAAGCTAGAAAGAAGGGCACACACTTCAAGTTTGCAATTGTGCCCGATTTGGAGGGATAACCGTTATGTCCAAATAATCTCCTCTTTGGAACTTTGGTGACTGTGGGGTCATGGACTATCAGTCCCCTTTCTGCTGAGCATGGTACTGTCTTTCTCCTGAACTCCATAGCCAGGTCTTTGAAGGTCGATAAAAACAATTGCAAAAGGACTTTGTGTCTGACAGATGAGAAACGAATACTTATTAGCCATAAATGGAGTTGTAGTCAAAACTAGAGCCTATGTTCTCTGGCACTATTATAGTCTCATTTTGAAGTTTATAAACAGTATGGCAGGGTGTCAGCCTAATTACCTTTAGTTTATTACAGTAGAACATTTCAAACGTATAGTTGAAATGGGAAAAAAACCCCGTGTACTACAAGTGAACCTCGAAGTACAATTTCACTTGTTTAGCTTGTAACAAATAAAAGCAGCCATTTACAATCTGAAAAAAAAAAAAATAATGATAGGGTCTTCAAAAAGTTCATGGAAAATGTCCATTATGAAAAAGCTATGGATTTCACTTTTTTTAAAAAAAATTTGTACCGAAATGAACTGGACTTTGATTCCGTTTTTCTGTGACCCTTGTGAAGTCGCCTCATATTACTGGCTTTGTGAGACCCGATGTGATGTGTGTGGTGCACCGGCTCAACTCTGCCAGGGTCACAGGAAGACAGACCATTCGGATGTCAGACACGTGAGCAGGCCTGTCTTCTTAGAAAACGTTATTTGCCAAAACAAATGAGGATTTGGCTCCTGGGATGAAGTTCGACCCCCTTGCCCGGAGGACATGGGCAGCTTTTTTTCTTTTTTTTCCTTTCCTTTTCTTTCTTTCTTTCTTTCTTTCTTTCTTTCTTTCTTTCTTTCTTTCTTTCTTTCTTTCTTTCTTTCTTTCTTTCTTTCTTTCTTTCTTTCTTTCTTTCTTTTTCTTTCTTTTTCTTTTTTTTTTTTAGGTTTCTTCCATAGCCTGCATGTGCTTGTCAGATAGACAGAGAGGCAGTGAGAAGAAAGTGAGAAAATCACCCTCCCCAGGTGGGGATGGCCCCCAGTGAAATCTCTTGTCCTCCACACACCTCCTGGGATTTTGAGCACGCATGCATGCGCACAAACCCAGTGTGAGTCTCATGCCAGATCCGGGACTTGAACTGCAGTTGGTCGTGTGGAAGTACAGCACCTCAACTACCATGCCGCCCGCTGGCCCTGATTGGAAGCTTTTCTAAGTCACCCATTATCTTTTCCATGTCTCCCCCTCCCAGCTCACAGAGCCCCTCTCCCCTGGCAAGTTCTTAAAGACCTCCGTGAACGTAACCCGTGGGAGGGGCCGCGCAAGTAGGTGCGAGCAGCTGGTGGAGGGACCCGGACTCCTTCTACCTTCCGTCACCTCCTGAGTCTGCTTGAACATTTCTCAAGATAAAAAAGCTAAAAAAGAAAAACTAACTAAAAAAGGGAGAGGGGGAAAATCCTTCCCAGAAGAAAACGCTAATGGAAACCCGTAGGGAGGTGGGCTGGGCCTCGAGGAGGCACGCACAGGGGCGCGAGGCGCGCAGATACTCACGACCAGTACAGCAGCATGAGCAGGAAGGGGCAGATGATGAGGGCCTGCAGTGCCTGCCAGTCCCGGCACAGCGCCGCCAGCCCGGGCATGAGGAACTGCCCCGCCATGGCCACGAAACTCGCCACCATCGTGATCATGAACCGTTTTCCGGGGGGGCACAGCTCGATCCCTGGAACACAGAACCAACAAGAGAGACGTGAGTGCCCTGCCCGACAGCCCTGCCCGGGGAGCTCTTTACAGATGGGTAAACTGAGGCCCCAACTGAGAAAACAACCAGATGGTTCCTGAAGGCTGCAGAGCACGTCAGACTCGGTTGTTCACAGGCTGAGCTCAGAGGCTGGGGCGTGCTGCTCCCGACGGGACAGAGCGCCCACCCGCACTGCCCAGCTTCCTGTGTGCACCCGATGTGACCATGCCTGCTGCCCAGTGGACTCCCTCACTCACCATCCTCTCTCTGATGCTGTACCTGGAGAGGCGGTCAACCTCCAGGCTGGACACCAGGCATGCCCAAGTGCTCACTCCCACCCACGTACAGCCATCCCTTCTGGGCCCAACTCCAGTGCCCCCTGGGAACTAGGGGGGCCAAGCAGCCTACTCACACCATGAGAACGAGGGAGACTGTGCTGGTGGCAGCTTATCTACCGATCTACTTATTTATTTATTTACTTTTTGGGGGAGAGATTTTTGCTGTAGGGCACACATGTTCGCTGGAGAGATAGAGACAGAAAGCGAGAAATCACCCCCCAGGGGCAATGGCCATGCCACAATCCCTTCTCCTCCATTCTCCTCTCAGGATTTTGGGCACACACGCACACGCGCCCGGTATGAGTTTTAAGCTACTGGGTCCAGGGCTCGAACCTCAATCGACTATATGGGAGTCCAGTGACATAACCATTATGTCATCTGCTGGTTCCGGCAGTGTATCTCTTTAAACAAACAAAAGCAAATGATCACTTGTGCTTGGATCTACAGCGATGACCTAACCGGAAAGCTCCTTCCCCTCCCTGGAGCCTGCTCATGGTAGCAGGGTGTGTTTTTGCACTCCTCCCACTGGACCTATTAGGTGGGGCTTCTTCTGGCCAGGAGTATGTCTGAACCTTCTTCACAGTTCCAAAGAAAAAAAACCAGTGTCATCTTCAACCAATGGCCATGAAAGGAGGAAGAACATCGTCTCTCCTACTTGAACTCTCAAGACTCTATTCTCTTTCTCTTTCTCTTTTTTTTTTTTTTGGAGAGGTTTTTGCTATAGAGCATGTGTGCTCACCAGAAAGACAGACAGAAAGAAAGAAATCATCCCCCATGGAGGATGGCTATGCTGCAATCCTTCTCCTCCATTCTCCTCTTGGAATCTTGGGCACACATACACACACACCCGGCATGAGTTTAAGCCACCGAGTCCGGGACTTGAACTGCGGTCAACTACATGGGAGTCCAGCGACATAGCCATTATGCCAACGGCTGGTCCCAAGACTATTCTCTTACTTTGATCGTGAGTGAAAATGAGGGCTGCAAAGCTTTGATCTGTAGCCCCTGGATGACAACCAGTGCAGGCCTACTGAGCAAAGTCATATAATGAAGATCCTTCATACTAGAAAAAGCAGCAGGGTTTTATATATCGTTTTCCCCTCTGAAGCACGTGCATTTATCTGCTATTCTTCTTCTACAATATACAGCATTCCCTCAAGTTTTCTTGCTTGCTTGCTTTTCTTTTCTGTAAGTGGAGTGAACACGATTAAAAGCAGCAGCAGCAGAAGACAGAGTCCCGGGAGAGAATGACTGCTTTTCACGGCTTTGTGTCCGGAGACTGCTCAGATGGTGGCTTTGTAGACAGTGGTCACAGCTCACCTGCTGCTTGTCTCGAGACCGCAGCTGGTGCAGGAGGTCAAAAGGCAATAAGACGGGGAAGCAGATAGAGAGAACAGATACATTACACCGAGCTACATGGATACCATCAGCCCCAACAAGGCTGGGGCACAATGCCAGCTGATACCTACACCAGCTCTTCCGTGGAAAAAAAAAATAATAATGCCATCACACTTTCCATTTCTGCTTGCCACAAACAGACCATCATTGCAGCCATCAAGCAAGCGAGAAGCCCGGCCTCACTGCATACCGCTTAGAAAGAGCTTTTCAGCGCTTAATTAGGAGGACACGATTAAACAGCCCACTCCTGGCCATCTGCTATAATGCCGTTCCTTTGACTCCCACAGGGCAGGGCCACTTAAAAGAGCACTTCTTAGCAGGGGCCAGGCCCTATCAGGATCTGCCATGTCTGCTCTTAAGAATAATAAAGCGGGGTCTTTTTTGGAAGAGACTAACCGTTGTAGGCTCTGATTTTGACTGACTAAGCAAAAGTGGTAGACTGGCTGCCATGGAAACCAGAAATCTACATTAGCCACGGTAAATTCAGAGTTCGGAGGCTGTGCACAGCGAGGATCAGGTAAGACAATTTAGCACTTGGCCACCAAAAGAACCTTTCAACCAAGTCGGAGAGATAACGTCAAAACATGATGGCTTGGGACCAGCAGTTAGCATAATGGCTATGTCGTTGGACTCCCATGTAGTCAACTGCGGTTCGAGTCCCGGACCCAGTGGCTTAAAACTCACACTGGGCCTGTGTGCGTGCGTGCCCAAGATCCCGAGAGGAGAATGGAGGAGAAGGGATTGTGGTGTGGCCATACCCCCTGGGGGATGATTTCTCGCTTTCTGTCTCTCTGTCTCTCTCTGTCTCTCTGGCGAGTGCATGCGCCCTATGGTAAAAACCTCTCCTAAATAAATAAATAAATAAATAAATAAAACCAAAAGTACAAAAAAAAACCATGATGGCTTCATGTTGGGGAGCTTTCCTCTTCATTATCCCTCTTTAATGTAGTGACGCAATAAGTATGAACATATCTGCACAACTGTGATTCTTTTTTTAAATGGTTATTTTTTGGAGGACTAGCAGATGGCATTGGACACTCCCACATGGCTGTCCATGGTTTGAGTCCTGGATCTGGTGGCTTGCTTTTTCCCTTTCCCTCTTCCCTCACTGTATCTCTCCCTGGTCAAATTAAAATAGATGAATGAATGAATAAAATTAAATAAATAATTCCTTTTTTTTTTTTTTTTTGGGGGGTTTTTGCTATAGGGGGGGTTGGCTCGCCAGACAGATAGAGACAGAAAGCGAGAAATCACCCCCCAGGGGGGATGGTCACGCTGCAATCCCTTCTCCTCCATTCTCCTCTCGGGATCTTGGGCACGCATGCACACGCGCCCTGCGTGAGTTTAAGCCGCTGGGTCTGGGGCTTGAACAGCGGTCGACTATGTGGGAGTCCAGCGACATAGCCATTATGCAAACTGCTGGCCCAAATAATTATTTTAAATACTGTCATTTATTTATTTAGAGAGTCAGAGAGTGAGAGGCATTCATAAATGAGTCTTCAGACCACGATCCACCCCCAGCTCGGCTAGCCAGGATCGTGAGCATGGGCATGCACTCGGCGTGTACAGGTAGGTCCTGAGACTTGAACCCAAGGCTCTCTCATATGGCTTCAGCCTTGGGGAATATTGAGCTACCATTGTGGCTCTGTAACTACGATTCTTTTACTACAGCCCCCACTCGGGACATCTAATCCCACCTACTATTTATGCTTATGTGAAATCAAGAAAAGATCAGAAAGTGGTTTCCTAGACCAGGGTCTAGGTGTGCAGATGATGGAGGAAAATGGCCCCTCGAGAGGACCACTGAGCCCACAGGAGGACTCACAGGCTCGCTCCCTTTGTGGCAACGAGTCGCTGTGGCCACTACGTCTACCTGGAGTGTCTGTCGATTAGGCAATGATTAAATCAGCATCATTTTTCTTTTTCTTCTTCTTCTTTTTTTTTTTTTTTTTTAAGAGTTTTCTGCTACAGGGCAGGTGCGCTCGCCAGAAAGAGAGAGACAGAGAGACAGAAAGCGAGAAATCACCCCCCAGGGGGGATGGCCACGCCGCAATCCCTTCTCCTCCATTCTCCTTTTGGGATCTTGGGCACGCACGCACACACGCCCGGCGTGAGTTTTAAGCCACCGGGTCTGGGACATGAACTGCGGTCGACTACAGGAGAGTCCAATGACAGCCATTATGCTAACTGCTGGTCCTGAGCATCATTTTTCTTCTGAAGGTGCTCTTACTCCTCTCCTGTAAAAGGGCTAAGCGGTCCCCTAATTCCCGGCTACTTGCACCTGCCGAGCCCCCAAACACTGAGTTTACCGTGGCCAATGCAGATTTCTGGATTCCATAGCGGTCACTCCACTGCCTGCACTTCGTAAATGAAGCCCAGACCTATCTGTTATTCTTTCCTGTGGACCATGGGGAGGGTGTCAAACACGCAGCATCTCGGGTCCCACCCAGCCTGCAGAATCGGCCTCTGTCTCTCTTTTTTTTTTATATAGATTTTTGCTGTAAGGTGCATGTACTTCCCAGAAAGACAGACAGAGACAGAGACAGAAAGCAAAAAATCACCCCCCAGGGGGTATGGCCACACTGCAATCCCTTCTCCTCCATTCTCCTCTCGGGATCATGGGCACGCATGCACACGCGCCTGGCGTGAGTTTAAGCCACCGGGTCCAGGATACGAATTGTGGTCGACTACGTGGGAGTTCAGCGACATAGCCATTACGCTAACTGCTGGTCCCCCCAACCTCTGTCTCTTTTAAAAATATTTTTTTTTCTTTTTTTATTTCATGACACGGATAGAAATAGAAAGAGAGGAAGGGCAGGCACCACCAACAGGGCCTTATGCTGCGATTTGCATCCCCAGCCTTTCCACCGAGCCAGGGCCTGGGGTGTGCACCTGGGAGGTACCGGTTTGACTGGGGAACTGAACCGCGACCTTCCGAAGGGATCCGGCATCGCATGAGCAGCCATGACCACGGCACTATGGAGCCACCTAGCACCTGCACCTTAACGACACCCTCAGAGGACTCCCTGAGAAGCACTGGCTTACTGCGTGTTCCCCAAACGGAAGCATGTCATGTGTCCCCGACGCACATGGCTGGGTGCTGAAAAGATGGGACCATTTTCTGACCTCCCCACTCCCTCTGCCTTTGCTCAGAGTCCTAGCAGAGACGTGAGATGTCTGGCTGTTTAGCATTTCTGTTGGTGCAATGCGAAACACGGGGACTTGACAGAAGACACAGGTGGGACC